ATCCGTCCCGTACATCGCCGCTCGCTGTAACGCCTTCCGCCGCAGCGTCTGTCGGCGGTGATAGCTCCCCCCGCCGCCGCCGCCGNCCGACAAGGCGGGCGGGTGTTGGGCCCTGGCGGCGCCGTGAGGACTTGGATGGCAGCTTGGAAGCGACCTCACGGTTTGTGAGAAGGCGGAGAGGGTGGAGACGGCCGCACCCGACCACATGCTGAAGGGAGCTGCGGGGGAGGGAGAGGGAGGGGGGAAAGACGAGCAAAGGAAGGGTGTTATGGAGGGGCGGCAGCGGGTAAACAGGCATGCCGTACAGTACGGAAATGTGCAATGCTATATCAGGATACACCAAAATAAAATATGAATCATTTTACAAAAAAATAAAGAATATTAAAAATAGTACGTATAATAATACATTAACAGTATATATATAAAGTATGTCACTCGCGTCTGGGGGGCAGTGATCCCCCAACCCCCACCTCATCCAACTGGGCTACGGGGAGCTACCGCCGGTGCGGACGGCGGCCCGACGACTGAAGTCGTCGCGTGACGGCGACCCGCGGAACGGAGAAGCAGAGCGTGGCGGCGGCGGCGGCGGCGACGGCGACGGCGACGGCGGCGTCTGCTGCCGCTGCTCCGCCGCCGGCATCCTTGGCTCATAGGCAGCGGCGGTAGAAGCCGTATGGCTTGGTGAGCCCCGCAGCCCTTTCATACCCGATCGGAGCTCAACGGCCATGTGCGCTACTGCCGCCGACGCTTCCGCCGCCACAGCCGCTTCGGCATTTCCTGGCTCACTGACCCCTGGGTCACCTGGCGTGGAACTCCAGGAGAGAGACGACCCAAATTGGGGAACCGTGACATTGGCGGCGGCTCCGCTGCCACCGCTGCCGCCGCTGCCGCCACCGCCGCTGCTGCCGGATCGCGTCTGTTGCGGCGTCGTCTTATGCCGCTGCTGCTGAGACGCCAGCGGCGGCGGCGGTGGTGGCGGCGCGTCGCCTGCCTCCTCTCCCTCTCCCTCTCCATCTTCCTCCACGACAGGGCATACCAGCCGGCCTCGCATACTGCTAACGCCGGAGCCGTACGTTCCCAACATCGAGTACGGCATAGGGATTTCCGACACTGGCGGCAGCTTGGACATCTCCGCCGAGTCGCCACTGCCGCCAAGGACGATCATGCCGCTGGCGAAAGCCCCCTCACTCAAGCTGCCGCCGCTGGCCAAGCCGCCGCCGCCGCTGCCGCTGCCGTAACAACCGAAATCCCCTCTGGGCCGCATGGGTGACGGCAACCGGGCTGACATTGATCCACGTGGGACGTACGGCGACGCAACGCCGTCGCCGCTGATGCGACCCGCGCTTCCCGTGATGACGGTTGACAACACGCGAGCGCCGGAGTTGCCGCCGCCGCTGCCGCCAGCACTGCCGCCGCGTGCATCTGCGCCCTAAGGGTCGCTGGTGCCGTCTGCGCGGGGCGGCTGCTGCGATCAGGTGCCGTACAAAGCCCCATGGCTGCCGCCTTGGTGCCGTACTTCTCCCGGAACTTGTTACCTTTGCCAGCGCCGCCCAACGACCTGCCCGACTGGTTGCCGCTGCGGAACGCACTGGCGGGTGTTGTGGGAGCCGTGGCGGCGGCTGAGGCAGTGGTGGCGGCGGCGGCGGCGGCGGCGGCGGCGGGAGCTTCAGCACTCGGCTCCACTTCCTCTTCGGCGCCGCCACTGCCTCCGTCGTCTTCATCATCTCCGTCGCCTCTGTCGCCGCCGCCAAGGGTAATGCCCTTCTCCGAGCCTTCATCATCTCCGCCGCCTCGCGCCTCCGCTGCCGCTGCGGCCTCCGTGCCCAGATCCTGGCGGAGGCGGAGTCGAAGCCCAGGAGACAGAGACACCCTCTCTGGCTCGGGTTCCCGGACATCACGGCATCCCGCTCCGATACCATCCTTTCCATCACGCAGCACGCCACGCACGTCATTGAGGCGGCTGTCGCCACCACCCTGTAGCGCCCAAGTAGCGCGATCAGCGGCGGAAGGCGCCGCCGCCGTGGCTGCACGGGCGCCGCCGTACAGTGAGGACGTGCCGTCGCCGCCAGCTGTGAGCCTTTTCGGCGACTTGGCGACTTCTCCAGCGACGGCAACAGCAGCGGTGTCGTACGACTGCCGGATACACCAGGCCGCCCTCCTCCCCCTCCTGGGGCAGCAGGTTCGACCTGTGATAGCGGTGCCTGCTGCTGCTGCTGCGGCGGCGATCAGCGGCGGCATCAGCATCCAGGGCTGTGACACCGTTCCATCCGTTAGTCGTTGGAATTGGCATATTTAACCGTTTTATCTGTTCTTATGCAGGGTCTCCACTTCCTCAGGCTTTCTGTTTGAAAGCTGCACGAGTGCGCGGCCTCAGCTCTAACGAGGCTGCGACGTACGTGAGGCGCCTTAGCACAGTATTGTGCACGGTAAGTCTGGGCCGCAAGCTTGGGGGGTAAACTGCCGTTCGCGCCCAAATCCATCCGTTAGTCGTTGGAATTGGCATATTTAACCGTTTTATCTGTTCTTATGCAGGGTCTCCACTTCCGCAGGCTTTCTGTTTGAAAGCTGCACGAGTGCGCGGCCTCAGGTCTAACGAGGCTGCGACGTACGTGAGGCGCCTTAGCACGGTATTGTGCACGGTAAGTCTGGGCCGCAAGCTTGGGGGGTAAACTGCCGTTCGCGCTCAAATCCATCCGTTAGTCGTTGGAATTGGCATATTTAACCGTTTTATCTGTTCTTATGCAGGGTCTCCACTTCCGCAGGCTTTCTGTTTGAAAGCTGCACGAGTGCGCGGCCTCAGCTCTAACGAGGCTGCGACGTACGTGAGGCGCCTTAGCACAGTGTTGTGCACGGTAAGTCTGGGCCGCAAGCTTGGGGGGTAAACTGCCGTTCGCGCCCAAATCCATCCGTTAGTCGTTGGAATTGGCATATTTAACCGTTTTATCTGTTCTTATGCAGGGTCTCCACTTCCTCAGGCTTTCTGTTTGAAAGCTGCACGAGTGCGCGGCCTCAGCTCTAACGAGGCTGCGACGTACGTGAGGCGCCTTAGCACAGTGTTGTGCACGGTAAGTCTGGGCCGCAAGCTTGGGGGGTAAACTGCCGTTCGCGCCCAAATCCATCCGTTAGTCGTTGGAATTGGCATATTTAACCGTTTTATCTGTTCTTATGCAGGGTCTCCACTTCCGCAGGCTTTCTGTTTGAAAGCTGCACGAGTGCGCGGCCTCAGCTCTAACGAGGCTGCGACGTACGTGAGGCGCCTTAGCACAGTATTGTGCACGGTAAGTCTGGGCCGCAAGCTTGGGGGGTAAACTGCCGTTCGCGCCCAAATCCATCCGTTAGTCGTTGGAATTGGCATATTTAACCGTTTCGTCTGTTCTTATGCAGGGTCTCCACTTCCGCAGGCTTTCTGTTTGAAAGCTGCACGAGTGCGCGGCCTCAGCTCT